AAATAAATAAAGTTGAATAAAAAAATTCTTTTTTTTTAAAAGAATTGTTTTATTTAACACTATTTTAATTTTATTTAGTTATTTTAATTTGACCAGAGAGGGATGGAGAGAAAAAGAGAAAGAGAAAGCAAGGAAGCAAGCCACCAGGTCCAGGACTTGAACCGTGGTGAGCCATGTGGCAGTCCAGCACCCTTAACCACCACGCCACTTACCAGCCCCAAATAACAAAATAATTCTTAAAAATACCCCAGCAAACCTCTTATTGGGGCCAGAAGGTGGCGTGGTGTTTGGGGGGTGTTGGACTCCTACATGGCTGACTGTGGTTCAAGTCCTCGACCTGGTAGCTTACTTTCTCTCTCTCTGTCTGTCTCTCTGTAGTCAAATTAAAAAATAATTAATTAATTTAGGAACCAGCTGTTAGCATAATGGCTATGTCGCTGAATTCTCATGTAGTTGACTGCAGTTTGAGTCTCCCAGTGGCTTAAAACTCACACTGGGTGCATGTGCGTGCATGCCCAAAATCGCGAGAGGAGAATGGAGGAGAAGGGATTGCGGTGTGGCCATCCCCCCTGGGGGGTGATTTCTTGCTTTCTATCTCTCTGTCTCTGGCGAGCGCACGCACCGTGTAGCAAAAACCTCTCAAAAAATTAATCAATTAATTTAAAAAACCCTCTTATTAAATATATAAATACTGTCTCTAAACTGCAAGAATTTGGGATTAAATAAAACAAAGAGACCATCAGTTTTTATTTACATCAGTTTGGTTTATACATGTTTGAATCTCGCTCTAATGACTGGCTTGTTTCCAATATGGAAAACAAAATAACTTGATCACTTTATTTCAATTGTTCACATACCATCCTGCAGCTCCATCCACGTAAAAGTAAATTCAACTTTGCTATGTCAGAGATGAAAGCTACTTAACATAAATTCAGTGAGGTTGGACCTTTCATAAATAGCATGAAAGCATGGGTTGATGAAAAATGTCCAAGATGCAAACCCTAGGGTGGTAGTTTTTTGTCCTGCATATT